GCAGTAAATGCGCATGGCGGGGTATTTGAAAAAAAATCAGTCCCGGTCATATTTGAACCCCCTTGTAGAAAGAAAAGGGAGTGGTGTGGTGGCTTAGAAAAAGAGATGGACTTATCACCTATGATGGTTAGTTGTTGTTGTTGTTGTTGTGACAGGTTGCTTCCCCTATGAAGAACAGATGAGCATTCATGACTTCACCTACCTGTGATTATCATAGTAAATTGATGGCTGGCCATCAAAGTGATTCGATAAAATAAGTTGGGCCATGACCTACCCATGACTAAAAACAATTATTAAAGTTATTTGAATAATGTCTGATCTGCTGTCAATCTCTATATTTATTTATTTATTTATTTTTTTATTTATATTTACATACTTTCAGGGTGAGTCATTTCAGATAGGAAAAAATTCGCCACCATCTTCTCCGTGGTTAGATGAACAAATTTGTATTTGGTTGAGAAGAACTTTATTTCTCCACAGCAGTTTCTCTCTATTTCTCTTCTTCTCTAACGTCCAGAAGGTTGTGCTTATAGTGAATTAGTGTACTCCATAATGACCTCCTGAGTCTACAAGAGCACTTTGAGTTGTTGAAATGTGCATGAAGTTGTGGTGATATGCAGACTGTGATGAAACCAAAAATTTACGAAATACACTTTCTACAAGAGTCTTATGCTTTTGAGGTTAAAATGGTGAGGAAATTCCTTATTGCTAATATTCTGATGGTTGTGGTTTGTTTTTTAACCACCTGAAATGACTCGTAACAATGGCTTTGTATGTATACGAAGGAAATGGAGAAACAGAGAGTACTCACATTGAGTATAAACTGAGTTATAGAATTGAGAAAGTGTTGTTTTCTTCCAGGTGTTATTGGATTATCACAGAGACAGAATGCAATTCTTGGAACGAACAAGTTTATTGAAGGGTTACCATTCTATTCCCTCATACCCTTCATTGATCCCACATTGATTGTAAACTGAGAAGTTCAGAGTTGAGTGTATTTATATACAATATTAAAGTTCTTTCTTCATTTTTGAATCTCAAATTCAAGATTTTAGAGATGGTACATTGAATAAATTCATTGTAGTTGGTTAATTTATCAACAAATCAGTTAATTTGATTTTGTGTGTGAATATATCTACCATAAATTTTCAAACATCTTTCGAGAATATAGTTCAGTGTATGGTATGTTGTAGTTTTGTTTACCCCAAATTAAAAAATTGAAAATTCTTTCCGTTTATAAACAATGAAATTCATATCTTAAAAATTTTTATTGGTACACCAATAATTTATTATAATTATTATTATTTGGGTACAATTGGCTGATAGCCAGGTGGTAACCATAAGGCCTGTTTTACAATACAAAAACAAATTAAAATAAACACTATAAAACAATTTAAGATCTATGTATACAGACGTATATAAATTCAAGCATTAATATTAAACTAATAATTTTAAAAATCATATAGTTATATCCTATTATCCCCTCCCCTATTTCCCAAGTCTAGTTAGTACCCATATAAGCACCTATTCATATACTTACTAAATACTGTTTTAGTATATACACACATACATTCAGTTCTTCCAGATACACATAATCTGATGAATGATGTGCACACTATCTGTGGCCACATATACCATACACCCACTTATTGAAGCCCTTACATTAGAATTTCCTCTCACACTTTTATTTTTTCTCGATTGCGAATGACAAAATGGAATTTTAACTGAGCTCTCTAAACATCCGAATTATGACCTCACCCACACTATCACTTCACCACACTTCACTACATTTTCACCTTAAATTTCTTTCACTATGCCTTATAGAAAACTGAAATAACTTATTGATATTGCTTTTCAATGCACTGCACTGCACATATCATCCCTTTAATTATTGATGACCAACTGAACTAAATGGTAAAATAAAGTGGGTATACAAATATTTTATCAGTCTTTTTTTAATACCAAGATATAGGTAAACTTGCTAAGATTTTATTCTTATTTTTAATTTTACAATTTACAAACAAATAGTTTACTATATTCCCCCCCCCCTTTTTTTTCTCTCCAAGTTGCCCTTTTTAAATGATCTCATTACAAAGTAAAGTGTTTCCACTGCAATGTGGTACTTGTGGAATGGAATACTTAATATTGTACACTATATTAAGTATGCTAGAGTGCTCTAAAAAGGAATGGCAAAAAAAGTTCAGAAAATTATATTTCAATTTGTTTTGAACTTAGTAATTTTACCAGAAGGGTTTTTTCAGTAGCATGTATTATTTAGCATTTAAATAATGTAGGCGATATGTTTGTAATTAGATCCACTTCCAATATTTATTCAGTATTGCTTACCCACATTTTCTAGAGATCAAAGATTTTACTTACAGCAGTAAAGATCTAGCTTCACCCTTGAGAATAGCTGTTTATTGCTTTGTCTGACATAGAGAACTCTTTAAAGTGTAAAGTAATTGTGAAAACTTGGCAAATGGTAAAAGAAATAAAGGTAAGCTGGTATAGTTGAAGACAGGAATCAAATAGGGAAGCAAATGTGGCTAACCATCTTTAAATGTAAAAGGCATAGTAGCGTGACACATTTTACGTAATGATTTATAATTAATGATAGTCCTTGCCATAAGGGACTTGGGATAATTAATATGAATGTAAAATATACATTCATTTGTTTTGTGGAATGTTTAAAGTATAACATACAACATTTTTGTTACTTTTTGCTATACATTTTACAGTGCTTTCTGGTGGGGTGTTTTGTTTTTTTTTTAACTTAAAATTTTTTTACTTTAACATTAGAAATTATAATTTTCAATAAGATAAGGATTTTGATACTCATTTCAGTGATGTTTAAAAAGGATCCTCAAGTCAGTATTAAATATAATTGTAATAATGACCCCAGTTTACTAATGAGCATATATGTCATTGATATGATTATATAGTACTGACATACACAACCAAGTATCGTTCTTTTCTTGACATACAACTGACTATAATTCTTTGCTTCATGGTTTCTGTGATCTGTTATTTCTGAATATTGACTTTAACACTAAGAGTAAAATAACACAGTATATTGACTGTAGTTAGAAGTTCTTAATTCATCTTAAATTTTTTGTATCTATTAATAGCATACACATCCAAACTTTTTTTCAAGTTAGTTTGTGTAAATTGAGGATTATTTGGTGATCTCAAATAATTTGTTATGAGTGATAAGACTGCATTTGTTTTATTTAATATTAGTTTATTTTTCTGCTCATTCATTCACACATCCATTCACAGTTTTGTATCAGCAGTTCATTCTAGTACAAAGTTGTAAATACAAAATTGCAAACTGAAACATTTGAAATTTTCCTTATACTTACAATCTACATGAAAAATGATAATTATTGTGCAAGGAATGGATGTTCATGAAGTAATGATGTTGTAGTGAATAAATATAAACATTTATAATATATATATATAAATATGTTTTGTACCGTGCAAGTATACTGCTGATCACTGTTTTCAATTTGTCAAGAGACTCTTAGGTTATTGGAATTATCGTTGTTTCACATAATAATTTATATTGTTAGTAATTTTTCTAGGTTTTAAAAAGTAGGCTTTTTACATTTCATCACAGTCAGAACTTGGAATGTACTAGTATTCTACTTTGAAATTAATAGTTAAACATTTTTTTATAACTCAGTATTTTGTACATTATATATCTTCATCTAAATAATCTGCTTCTTCTTCATCGGCGATTGCTGATATAGCTGATATATCAAGATCTTCATCAAAATTCTGAAAAAAAATAAGCAATTGAATTTTCAGTGTGTGGTTTTACAGAGATTCACTTATGCATACACTTTATAATCTTACAGAGTGGGAATATGTTTGTGTGCACCTATGGTTTTTTAAACTTATATTGTGCAAAATTCTGAAATTTGCAGGAAAATGGAAACAATCAAATAAAATTATCCCAATGTGCTTAATATGTTGTTCATGAAGGTTGTGATTTGACTGATACTGAAGGAAATGGGCATCAATTCTGCATGCTTATACCAACAAAAAAATGTATGTGTATATATATAGACAACAATTTTTTTTTAATATAACTTACAGAAGTTGGAAAAATGCTAAAATGTTAAGTTCACCTCAGTCTAACAGGCATACGAAACTTGATCCAAAAGAGCAAAAAATTGGTTTTTATATTTTTCTGCTTGAAAACAATATTATATATATATATATAT